AAACCTTCTTATTCTTTCCTCCAGGTTTCTTCACCATTGCTTCAAGTTTTCCATCTCTTTGTCTCCCGATGGTGCCTTCTTGGTATGTTCCTCAGGTGTATCTTCCATCTCATTCAGTTTTTCTTTTCTGAATTTCATCTACTATGAACTCATCAATCATATTTTTAATTTCACAGACTTTTTTTTACATTTCTAGAAATCTCATTTGGTTCCTTTTCAAAGAATCTTTTTCAAAAGCTTTTTTCAAAGCTTTTGTTCTCTCCTCATATTTAAAATTTTATCTTTTCAGTTTTAAAACTTTATTTACTTTGTCTTACTGGGGGTTTGAACTCAGGGGCTTGCACTTACTAGGTAGACATTTTACCTCTTGAGCCACTCCACCAGCCCTTTTATTTTGTGTTGAGTTTTTTCAAGATAGAGTTTTGCAAACTATTTGCCCAGGCTGGTTTTGAACTGTGATCCTCCTGATGTCTACCTCTAAAGTAGCTAGGATTATAGGGGAACCTTTTTTTTTTTTTTTTTGCAGTATTGCAGCTTGAACTCGGGGCCTATACCTCGAGTCACTCTACCAACCCTTTTTTGTGATGGATTTTTTCAACATAGGGTCTCATGAACTGTTTGCCTGGGTTGGCTTCAAACCAAGATCCTCTTGATCCTGCCTCCTGAGTAGCTAGAATTATAGATGTGAGCCACAGTTCCTGGTGAGACTGTCTTTAAAAAAAAAAAAGTTAAATATAGTTTAAAAGAGATTTTGTTATAGCTAAGGTAACATTAGCTGCTGTAAGAGGCAAAGCCTGAACTCTCAATGACTTAATAACAGATGGTTCTTGTTTATATCATGATTTGTATTAGTTATTTATTGCTTCACAATACGTTATAAAAATATAGTGTCTTAAAAACATTTATTATCTCCTAGTTGTTGTGGGTCAGAAATTTGAGTGCAGATTCTGGACGAACCAGGGTCAGGTGTCTCCCAAGACTGCAATTAAGGCGATGGCCAGGGTTTTGGTCATCTCAAGGTCTGACTGGGGAAGATCCCCTTCCATGTTTACTCATGTGGCAGGTTGGCAGGTCTCAGCTGCCTGCTGGGTATTGGCCAGAGACACCAGCTTCTTGCCACATGGGACTCCCTTTGGGGCTGCTCACAACATGGAAGCTTGCGTCCCTTATATCAAAGGCAGAGGAGGGAGCGTGAGAGGGAAAGTGAGTTGAGGAGGGAGAGAGAGAGGAAGAGGGGAGGAGGTGTCTAAGATAGAAGCCACACTTTGCCTGTACACTGGTCTCAGAAGTGGCATCCTACTCTATACGCCATATTCTATTCATTACAATTGGGCCAATAAGTCCAGTCCATGTCCAAAGGAAGGATGTGCATGTAGGCGGTGAAGACTGTTGGAGGCAATGTCACAGATGTCTCCCACATCGACACTGTCAGCTCACTGTCAATGGAGCGTCCCCTAGGAGAGGCCTGAGCAGCCTGGGTTGGATGTGCTCTCCGAGGAAATGTTTTGTAGTTGCTTCTGTTAGAATATTCCTGGTCTGGGAGCATTTTATGTTAATTTTTAATCTGGGCCGCAGAAGCCCATGCAGATACACAATCCTGCATCTGCGGAGGACTGGCAATGGGTACAGATTCTTAGGGGATTTGCTTTCTTCCCCCTCCCCCGCCCCACTCATGCCTGCCCTACAGACTAGCTTCCTTGTCATTGATCTGTAGTGATGATTACTTCTTTTTTTCTAGTCTACATTTTCATCAAAGGTTTATGAAGGTTCCCATTTCTGCTTCTCATTTGGGCTTCATGTGGGCCCAAATCCTCACTCCTGCACTGGAGTGGGTGTTAAAACCTAAGGCTTTTGGTTACTAAGACCAGCAGCCCCTGCCCCCACCTCCTGCCTCCACTGGGCTGTTTACAGCTTTGGCGCACACAGTTCATATTCTGATTTTCCAGTCTTCTCTTTGCTTTTGTCCCCTGGGGACTTATCTCGCTTTCTTGTGAGCTCAGCTATGCATATAAAATGATGGTGGTTATGTTTTATACAGACTTGTGGAATGGTTTGAAATGGGAGGCATTTCCAAAGGTTATCTAAGCTAAATAACAACCGTAAAAGTGTACAGGCCCCCATCTGGACCCACCAACTTTAGCATGGACAGTTTACAATTAGATCCAGACAAAATATTTTCCTCTTCATATCTCACGTGCCTGGAAATGGCCACTGCTTCTGAGTCTGGTTTGGAGACAGGCTAAGGATCTCATTTCCCTAGAGGATTCTTTGACCTAGGCTTTCCTGCATGTGAGGGTTTGGGGGAAGCAGCATGGAAGTCTGTGCAGGGATAATAGGAGGATTCACAGACAGATGTTACCATTTGATAATAACAAACAATGCAGACCAACTTAGGTGTTCTTCTGAGAGTCCACATGAGTCTTTCTCCCATGGGTCCTGGTCCCTTGTGGAAACCCAGGATCTCTTCCTGGCCAGTCCAACTTGAAGGTATATGGCCCTAGGAAGTTGTTCCTTTTCCCTGTGTCTGCCTTGAATAGAGCTGGTTGTAAGAACAGCCTATGGTGGGTGGGATTTCAAGAGCTTTGGAAGCCCTGAGATGGAGAGGCCTCTCATTCTGAGTGGTAATGTCACTGTGATTTAAGAACCTCTGACTTGGAGTGGAGGTGTGTCTCAAGAGGAGACTCCAAAGTTCAAACTCATAAAACCCTGAGTTCAAACTCCAGTGCCACCCAAAAATTAAAAGAAAGAAAGAAAAGAAAGAAAAAGAGAAAGAAAAGAAAGAAAGAAAGAAGCTTCTGGCTACTAATAGTAGTAGCTAACATTTGCTGTGTAGCAACTGTGTCCCAGAAATCATGCCTAGTGCTTTATACACAGAAGAGGCCTGGAGATGACTGCAGAGTGAGAGTCCTTCTATCCCTGATGTCCAGACTCCTCAAACCCAGAATGCTCTTGGCTAGGGTTAAGTCCACTTCCTTGGACTCCAGGAAGGACCCTTGAGGCTGGGTTGGTTCTAGTTGGGGAGCACCTTGAGCATAGCCCAGAAATAGCAGGGGGTACTTCCTGCGTTTCAAGAAGTACCCTGCTGTCTTTGGTGCCCCAGAAGTCCAGAGAGGAGGATTGAGAGGTGCATTATAGGACTATTGAGTCACAGCTGCCACACAACGTGACTTGTTGCCAGTTGGACATGAGCGCACTTAACTTCTCCTGGGGTTGATTTTTTTCCATGTCCTGTGATTTCTGTACACTTGTAATGAAGTTCCTTTGGAAAGAGCTGCATGAAGAAGCCCAGACAGTCCTTTTCCATTAGTAGGCATACATTGGAACCACTAAGTCTCTGTCTTCAGCACATTTGGCTCTGAGTGTCCAAGAAGCCAAAGCAGCGAGCAGCCCCTAGTTAGAGGGCCTGGGTTAAGGGAGATTTAACAAGCTCCTCAGGAGATGGTGGTGCTAGGTCAGCTTTATAGGGAAGTCAGGAAACATGCATTCATTTCAGTTTTCCCAGTTACCTGTTGGGCATTCTTGATGAATGCATCTGTCCTCTCTGAGTCTGTCTGCCCACTGGTAGAACGGGATGGAAATACCTGCTCTGTTTGAGGCAGGGAAATGCTGAGCTGCATTTTGCCCATGGATCAAGCCACTCCTTTGAACCTCTGTTGACCTACATAAATAGGATGCCATGCTTCTTTCTGGGGAGATGTCACAAGATGCAGCCCTAGGATACTTGCTGTGACATTCATCTTGGGATGTTATCGAGAACCATGTCCATGACTCCATCCAGTGGCCTCTACATAATCATCCACAGGGGGATGTCTCTTGAGTTCAGTGACAGGAATAGTTGTGGTTCTCATGAGCACCTGGCCTATGCTTGCCAGGTAGGCCCTGAGACCTTCACATGTCACCAAGGACTTACTGTGTGCCAGTACCTGCACCAAATGCCTCCCATGTCTCTTTGCATGCCTTCAGTAGCCCTAAAATTGTACCATTATCACTCCCATTTGACAGGTGAGTCAGCTGAGGCCCCCAAACTTTTATTTTCTAAGGCTATACTGCTAGGAAGTGGCAGAGCCAGCCCTTGAATCCAGGTGAGTCTCACTCCATGACCCATGTAGGCAACATTTTTCCAGGCTTTGGCTGGGGGGATGCTCAGGGTCAAGTATGTACCCATTTAGAGCAGTGTTCAGACTATGTACTTGTGTTCTGGTGTAGAGTTTATCTCTGGCACCACCTGTTCCTCCCTCTGTTTTTCCTTTGCTCTGCATCCTCTGTAGTATGCTTAGTCTCAGTGTGGTGGTGTACGGAATGGTTCCATGAACAAGATTTTCATTTTGCTTTTTTCTTCCTTGTTTTAATTCCTTTTAATGCCATGAATTCTGTACCACAAAATATCAAAAACAAAACCAAGAACCTCCTCCAGCAATGGCTAAGTTTTCCCCAGAGGGTGAGGGCAGAGCAGGGCAGGGTTAAGCTGCCCAAGCCAGAACCTTCCTTAGTAGGCAGAAGGTAGAGAAAGGGTTAGGACATTTGTAAGTTACTTTGGTCCATCACTTACCTGTCAATTTCCAAACTGCCCCTTGGTATGTATCTCTAAAGGTTGCTTTCAATCAATTGTGTAATGTAGTGGTTTATAAGTAATAAAAGATGTCTACCTCTGCAGTCCCCACCCTGATACAGGGTAGAGGGTGGATGTCAAATCCCTGATCCTCTCTCTCAGGGTTAAGTAAGAAACGTGAGGGACTGGACTAGGTGAAGAAGAAAACAAAGTGGTCTGGAGTGTAGGATACAGACAGACACCTAGAAGAGGCATAGGTGAGCTGGGAGAGATAGGGGGAGATAGGGGTGGCCTCAGAGTGGGTCCTGGGAATAGCACAGGGAAGAAGCACCCCATTTTTCTTTGTAGAGGGTTAGGGTTTCCTGATGAGCACTGTAAATCTAGATGCAGCCATCCCTACTCCATCCCACCCCAGCACCTCAGTAACTGTCCTCCCCGCCACCTCCCTTAGCTCAGCGAGGAGTTGAACCAGCAGCTGGAGGCCGTGTGCGGGTCCGTGTTTGGGGAGCTTGAGTCCCAGGCTGTGGACGCCCTGGACCTGCCCGGCTGTTTCCGCATGCGGAGCCACAGCTACCTCCGGGCCATCCAGGCCGGCTGCTCTCAAGACGACGACTGCCTACCCCTCCTTGCTGCCCCTGCCGTCTGTCTCAGGGAGGCCCGGCTCCTGTGAGTACCCTCCCCTGCCCACGGCCGGGCCTTGGTTGGAGAGAGTTATGGGTGCCCATTCTGGCCAGCCCCACCACTGTTCTGTGTGACCTTGGGCAGACCAGAGAACAGTCCTTAGTTCTGTACTGACGCGCGTGGAGTATGGTGGCTGCTGGGCCCTGGGGACCACGTGGATGGATCGGGTGATGACCATGACGCCTGCGAGGCTGTGTTTCTCACTCGCTACGTTGGATGTCCACAGCCTTCAACTTCAGAAAGGCCCCTCCCCCCATCCCGCCGGGAAGCCAGGCCCCGCCCCGCATCTCCATCACCGCCCAAAGCAGCACCGACTCCGCCCACGAGAGCTTCACCGCGGCCGAGGGCCCGGCCCGGCGCTGCAGCTCCGCGGATGGGCTGGACGGCCCTGCCATGGGCGCGCGCACCCTCGAGTTGGCACCGGTGCCACCCCGGGCCAGCCCCAAGCCCCCGACACTCATCATCAAGACCATCCCTGGCAGGGAGGAGCTGCGGAGCCTGGCACGGCAGCGGAAGTGGAGGCCGTCCATTGGGGTGCAGGTATGAAAGAGGGGTGCAGTGTCCAAGTCTCAGGCCCTGGTCGGTTGGGAATGGGTTCAGGGGATGGAAGAGGCCTTCTGGATGCACAGGGCTTTTTTGTTTTGTATTGTTTTTTGACTTGTCTTGATCTGCAAATAGACCCCATGCCTGATGATCGACATGGCTGCTCCAAACATTCCCACAGTCCACTCCCTTTATCCCTGGTCATCCCTACTGGTGAGTGCAGAGTGGTTTCCAGTGGCTGCCACGCGATGCCTCTGCTAGCTCAGAAAGATTATCTTTGCAGGGATGTCAGCTGGCTTGGGTGCAGCCACGCTGGCAATTCCTGACTTGGAAGGGCTTGTGTCCCTGGACTAGCCCTAGTCACTGACTCCGCCACCCTGCCACCAGGTGGAGACTATCTCAGACTCTGACACTGAGAACAGGAGCCGAAGAGAGTTCCACTCCATCGGGGTACAGGTGGAAGAGGACAAGAGGTAGGTCACAGCGAGGACTATCAGGCTTCTTAGGGGAACAAGAGGAACCAGGGCTCCCTAATGTGTAATGTCCCTACACACATGCTGCCCTTGGGGGTGACACTACACGTTTTTATTGGGGGATTAGTCAGAAGAGACACTGGTTGTCCACAAAGATGTTGCCAGGGTAATTATCACATCTACAGTGAATTCTTGTCCTCTATCTCAGGTGCTCAGAGGCAGACAGGACAGATACTGTGGTGGGAGGGGGGAGGGGGAGGTAGAGTAAGGTAATAGGTGCTGAGCAGGCCTCCAACAATTGTCCTTTACAGGGGATAATGGGTTTCTGCCAGTCCCTCGTTACATCCCATGGAGTACAAGTATGTGAGCTCAAAAAGAAATAAACAAACAGGAAGATTGCCTCTTGTGAGCCCCTGGCAGATAGAACACTCCTCCTCACTTGGCTGGTGCAGGCATTTAACCAGTGGGGGGTACCTATTATATGCCTGAGTCACTGGTGTGTCAGAGATAGTAGAATTACCAGCAGTCACTCTTCTGGCATTAGGTGGCCTCAGAAACATTGTTTCCTTAATTTCTAACTGAAGAATTAACATTGTGGTTCTTGAGGGAATATGGTAGAGTCATCTCTGCTGGGGGGTGCCTGTGGGAGATACTTTATCTAATGACCAGGTGGCAGTACCTCAGTAGCTCATGTGCCCTCTGGGCTGCAATGCTACCAGGCCAGTGGCCCTAGATATGGTGTCTGGGAACCTTCCTGGGACTGGCTGTGAGGATTTAATGGTAATCTGGGCTGTCCAGGGATCAAGCCAGGACCTCTGTAGCCATTGCAGTTCTGTTCCCAGGTGCCATTGCTGAGTCTTCTGACCTTTTCCAAAGTTCCACTAACTATTCCCAGGAATCCCAGGGGTTCTCCATTTCTCTCCACTCCTGCTCTAGCTCCCAGAAGTTCCACATGCTTCTGAGGAGTAAATGCCTCCACAAAGGATGGCAAAAAGCCGCTCTTGTTGTTTCAATCACTCCTAAAGTCACTCTTCTCCAAACTCTTATATGCCACAAAGATTACAAAAAAGTGGCACTTTATGACATACTCAATTTGTAAATCTATGGTTTGAGTTCTTGAGGGGAGAGTAGGCATCATGGATGGATGCATCTTTATGCTCTGAATCCCGTCCCCCCTTCCTGACTCCAGTGCTGCCTGTGGACCCTAAGCCAAGCCCATATGTCCCCACTGAGTCCCTGGGAGGCTTTCTTGGCCCCTCATCTAGATAGATTCCCTGGGGGGAAGGGAGAGGTGTTCCCCTCCCTTCCCCCTAAAAAGCTGGAATCCTGGGAAGAGTGCAGCAGGCCTTCTAGCTGAGCAAACTTATCCGTTCATTGATTCGGTCATTCAGCAAATAAGTATTTGTTATGTGACAACTCCTGTATGCTGTGTTAAATACTTGGGGAAACATCAAAGACACAACTGTTGGCTTCACAGAGGGAAATTGGGGCAATGAATAAACTATGAATAAAAATAGGATTACATATTGTAGTCTAATATGTAATGGAATATTATTGCACATCATGGTGGGGATATGAAAGAAAATAGGAGATAAGAGAGAAGGGACCTTATTTAGATTAAGCAGGTGACATTTAAGCCAAGACTTAAGCACTCAGGTGATGATTGCGGGAAAGGCATTCTAAGGACAGGAAAAGGCATATATGGAGGTGCTGGGGCAGGAAAGAGTTGGGCATGTAAGGATCTGAAAGAAGGTTGATATGGAGGGGTCTGGGGAGTGGTGAGACGGTGATTTGGAGAATGCCAGGGACCAGGTCATGCAGCGCATAGGCATGCTAGAGAGCTAGAATCTAATTATAGGTAATGAATAGCTATTAGAAGGTTAAAGGAAGAGGGTGACATGCTCTAATTTATGTTTACAAAGGATCACTAAACTGCTGAATGGTAGAATGGATTTGAGGAAAGTAAGAGTGGAAATGATAAGTCTAGTGGGACGATGCAGAAGAAAGGTGACAGTGTTTTGCAGTGTGGTAGCCATTATGGCTGGGGTCTTTTTCTATAATTGGGCACTGCTAGTATATGGGAACACTATTAAATTTTGATTTTGTATTCAGCAGTCTTGCTGCCCTCTCTCTTTATCAGGTCTGAGGTTATCTGAGAATCCTGATGAGTTTTCTATATAGTCAAATGTTTTTCTGCAAATGAAGATATTTCTTTCCAATCTGTATTTTAAAATTCATTTTTCATGTAATAACGCATTGACTAGAACTTCCAGCTCACTATTGAGTATCTGCATGCTTGTCCCATTCCTATTATTATTATTATTGTTATTATTATTTTGGCTGTACTGGGGTTTGAACTCAGGGCCTCACACTTGGTAGGCAGGCACTCTACCACTAGAGCCAGCCCCCATTCCTGATTTTAGTAAATACATTTAAGATGATGTTTGCAGAGGGAGAGGGGGGAGTGGGTGGTAAGGGAGAGGGTGGGGGCAGGGGGGAGAAATGAACCAAGCCTTGTATGCACATATGAATAATAAAAGAAAAATGAAAAAAAAAAAAGATGATGTTTGCTACAAATTCTGATTGGTACTATTTTGTCAGGCTGAGGAAATTCTCTTCTATTCCTTATCAATTAGGGCTAGAAGGGAATTCTTACCTTTATTTTTTAAATAGAAAGTGCAAGTGGAATTTTATTTACTGCTTTCTCAGAGTCTACTGAGATACCCCTAGATTTTCTTCTGTTCATGTAATGTGGGACATTATATTTTCCATATTGGTCTATTTTTCAATCCTGGGATAAATTCTGCTTGATCCTATTATGTACAGGGGTTCAATAGTTTCATAAGTGTATCTCTCTCTCATTCTTTAATAAAAGGCAGTGTAAATGTAAGAGATGTAGTGTCAGGACCTTGACTCCCTCTCTTGTGTGGCTCTTCCACTCTTTATATATCACTTCATATTCAAGAAGCTGAAGTTCAAGCTACACCTGTCATATTTGCATTCTGAGCAGAGGGAAGGAAGAAGGGAAGGAGAAGGATACAGTCCTTCCTTTCTAAAGGACTTCCTGAAACTTATACACAGCCCTTTCACCTACAACAAACACATTGGCTATGACCACATCATATGGGGACTCCTAGTAGCAGGGGATGTTGTGGAGTATAGGGTATGAAGTCCACACCTAAAAATAAGGGTTCTTATGGCTAAAGACAAAGACAAGGATAGATATATGGTGCTCTAGCAGTTTTTATCACAGTCTTGTTATATTATTTATATACTTAACTAGATTTTAAATAGTTATTAAAGATTTTCATATCTATGATTGCAAGTGATATAGGCCTACAGTTTTATGTTAATTATTGCTATTCAGTGCAGGTATTAAAGTTATGCTAGACTCCTAAAATGAATTTAGTAACTTTCTGTGTATTTTTATTCTTTGAAACAATTTGTGTAAATCAGGAATAATTAGCCTGGAGGCATGGCTCAAGAAGTAGAGCACTTCCCTAGCAAGCAGAAGGCCCTGAGTTCAACACCCCCAGAACCACCAAAAAACAAAAAAGAGGAAATAAATCAGAAATGATCTATTCCCTGAGGGTTGGGAAAGGTTGCCTATAAAACTATCTAGGCCTGATGCCTTTGGGGGATTGCAAGAGGTTTTAAAACTTCAGTTTCTTTAGTGAGAATATATTCTGGTTTTATTTTTCTTAAGTCAAATTTAGTGATTTATATTTTTTCTCAACAATGAACCATCTTAAAAAAATTAAGAGTTTTCAAAATTTTGGCTGAAAATATTCTTTCTCATAATATTATAAATTAAATGTTGCCAAAATGTCTCATCATGACGGCACATGTGTAACAAACAATTTCATAAAGGTCCATCGTATGTCTAGTTTATTTCCCTTTCCGTTTTTAATCCATGTGTTTATTCCTGTCCTCTCTTTCTTGATTAACCTTATATGTTTTAACATTTAAATGTATTTAAAATTATATTTTATTAGTTTTTTTAAACTACCTTTTTATTTCGGTGAACAATCTTTAATATTTCCTTTCTTCTACTTTTGTGTTATTTGATTTCTTCTTCTGTATTTGTCTTTTTGTTTTCAGCCTTGTTAATTGTTGGGAGAGAGGTGTGTGCTTAAAATGTCTTACTATGACTGTGCATGTGTCCTTAACTTTACTAATTTTTACTTGAGTTTGAGAGTGTGCTGTTTATAAACACACAACCTTATAATCATTGAATCTGTTATGAAGCAGGCTGATTTTCCTGTTTACTAATGATTTTTACCTTGATGTCTTTCTTTCTTTTTTCGTTAGTGGTACTGGAATTTGAACTCAGGACTTCACCCTTGATAGGCAGGCACTCTTACCATTTGAGTCGTTCTGCCAGCTGTTTTTTGTATTGGGTATTTTTAAGATAGTGTCTCAAGAACTATTTGCCTGGGTTTGCTTCAAACCTTGATCCTCCTGATCTCTGCCTTCTGAATAGCTAGTATTATAGCCAAGAGCCACTGGTGCTCTGCTACCTTGTCTTTTTTTGCCTGATTTTTATTGCTCTGGCTGCTTTCTTTTGGCTAATTTTCTAATACATGTTTTTTTCTGTCTCTTTATTTTCAAGCTTCCTGCATCCTTATGTCTTAGATGTGTTGCTGTAAGCGATATGTAGCTAGGTTTTAGTAGACAAATTTAATCCATTTATACATTTTGATTACTAATTTATTTGGACTTCTTTTTTTTTTTTTGCAGTATTGGGGTTTGAACTCAGGGTCTCATGCCTGCTAGGCAGGCACTCTATCACTAGAGTCACTCCACATCCCTTGACCTATTTCTGTCATCTCTTAAAAAGTGTTCTAGCTGGTGGAGAGACTCAAGTGGCAGAGCGCCTGACTAGCAAGTGTGAGGCCCTGAGTTCAAACCCCAGTGCTGCAAAAAAAAAAAAAGTTCTATTTATACACACTTTTTCTTTGCTTTCTTCCTCTCTCACTTTTCTGTTTTCTGCTGAACTG